TGATGTGGAATGACTTACCCAGGCTACACAGCCAGGAGTGTAGAGCTCACTTAGACTCTACATCTGTGTGGTGACAAGGCTTTCCCTCTCCCATGCTGCCTTCCAAGTTGAGAAGCCCACTCAGAGGCAGGCAGCACCTCCCAGGTGAGGCCAGGGGGAGGGCTGGCAGGATCTTCATCTTGTGGCCTAAGGGGAAAGTGACCAAGGCCAGGCATGCCTTTCTCTCAGCCCCAGGCCACCCGTATTCAGCCCTTACTCTCTCTCCCCACCTGTGAATTCTGGGAATGATACCATGTGGGGAGGGTAAGGAGCCCAGTGGACAGATGCTCAGCCCAGAGCAATCCCTTTCTCTTTGGAAAAGTGCCTCCAAAGCTGCTGAGCATTCACTCATTTATTATTATTGAATGTCTGCTGTGCATGTCAGGCAGTCTCTCTTCTCAAAGAGCTTATAGTCCAATGTAAACAGATGAACAGAATATGGCATGGTAAGCATTACAGGAGAAAAATGTGTGGATGCTCTGAGACCACAGAAAGGGGCATCCAACCAGCCTGCAGGTGGGAGGTGGAGGAAGCTTCTCGGAGCAGGTGATCCCTGAGCTGAATTCAGGGATGAGGACTTGCCCAAGTGAATTATTCAGAGGAGGATTCAGTGGAAGAAGGAAGAAGGACAGAGGGAAGCAAGTGCAAAGTCACGAAGGCCAGACACTCTCTGCTGTGTGTCAGGAAATGCCAACAGTTGCCTGCTGGGCTGTAAAGTTCTAGGAGGAGATGGAGAAGTGGTGAGATAAAGCTAGAGAAGGAGGCAGGGCCAGATCCTGAAGGGTTTTGTGGGACAGGTTAAGTCATTTGAGTTGTTCCCTAGGCAAAGAGGAGACTTTTAAGGGTTTTAAACAAGAGAGTGACATGTCTGGATTTGAGTTTTAGCAAGGCTGTCTTGGCTGCCTTCCAGTGGAGGGAGGATTAGAGGAAGGTAAGCATGGAGCTTCAGAGCCAGTTAGGAGGTTCTGAGTGGTGTAGGTGAGAGATGATGAAGGCGTTTCTGGTGGAAAAAGCCGTGAACCCTCAGTCTGAGTAGAATTTCCTCTGAGCCTGGGAGAGAGCACAGAGCTTTGGAAATGAGACATCTGAAGTTTCATGTACCTGGAAGACAGGTGCTGCTGAAAATACCCTGGTATGCATTTTACAATCAGTTTGTGTCATAGAATCTTTATGTGTTTGGCGAATGACTTAATGTATTTACTGATCTATTTATTTGCTAAGCATCAACAGCTGTGGCGTAGAATCAGTTATGACTTGTCACCATCAATACAGCCTCCCAGAATGTGCCTGTTCTCGCATCTCTGGATGGACTATTTGGTCATGTGGAAGCAGGAAAGGAAAAATAGGGCAGGTTTGGTAACTGGTTACTTCCTGCCGTCTCCCCCGTTGCCATTCCCATGTGGGGGTGGGAGATGCATGAAAATGATCTCTAACGTTCCTCCCAGTTCCAGAGCTTCAAAGCAAGACACCCCTGTGATTCTGTGCCAGCACTGCCCTAGCCCTGGCCCACTGCACGGCCAGTCGTCCCAGCTGGCCTGGTTTGGGAGGACTTAGAATTCCTTTTTCAAGGCTGGCTGTATGCTGCCTGATTCTTGAGGAAGCTTGAAGCAAGGGGATCTGTGGTAGAGTCTCCTCTTGTTGCCCTCCTATTGGACCCTCAGAACTGCTTTTCCACGAAAGGAGAGGGCCTGATCCTGCCCCATCTAGTTATCTGTGAGCCATCAAGCCTGGCACCACACAGATTCTTGTGGTGCCACTCTTCGGTGTTGCTTATTTATTTATACAACCCACTGCCATTTGGAGCAAGGCCCCCATGTGTGATTGCCACTGGGGCTGGGAGTAATTATGGCATTCTGTAGGGAGGTGGCACACTCATCATGTTCTAGCATCTTTCCTTCCCGGAATTGCCTTTGATCCAGCTCTGTGCTGGGATAGTAGCCATTAAGAGATGTCTATCTTTGGTTTCATTTACATGAAAGAAAAAAGAACTAAATTGTCAAATGGATGGTTTCATGTTCTCTCAGCTGGCCTCCACCCTGTCTGTGCCCAGAATCCTCAGAGCCACCTGGGAGAGCACCAGCCCCTGACCCACACTGTCATGGAGCCACTCGGAGACCTGGGACGGAAATCCCACACCTCGAAGGAAGGCATCCAAAGTGGGGTGCCTTCTACACGATGTGTGCTCATGGTGCATGCTCAGGCATAGGAAAACGATTTTCCTTCTTTTCCTTTTATTTGTTCATTGAGAAAATAAAAGAACTTTGGGAGTCTCTGAAATATTCATGATTATATCATTTTTTCTGTTACAAAAGAAATAAAAGCCTATTAATGAGAATCCAGAAACTTCACTGGTGAAAATAGAAATACTCTACTGGTTACCCATAATCCTGTTGTCCTAAAATAACTAGACTATCAACAAATTTCCTTCTATTATTATTATCATCATTATTATTCATAGAAGTTTTTGGTTAAACATAGTTGCTTTATGCCATACATTCAGTTGGGGCCTTGCTTTTTTTCCCTTTAATATGTTTTAATGATTGTGTAATGTTCCATCATGTAATAGGTTCAAATTTATTTAATCAAATCCCTGTTAGACATTTAAACTGTTTCTAAGCCACACGGTGATAATCAGCTTTATATAGCTTTTTTTCCACTTTGGAATTATTTTTCTTTGCATAGATTCCAAAAGGTGCAACAATTGGATCAAAGAGTTGATTTGTTTTATGCTTTTGATTCGTATTTCCATATTCTTCAAATTATTTCTAAGAAGATTTTTGTCTATTTATACTCTCACCAAGAGTGGCACACTCTTTAGTGCTGAGATTCTGGGATTTATTATTTAAAATTGATCATTAAATAGATGAGAAGATGCCACATTATTGTTCTATTTCCTCTTCCTCTCTCTCTCCCCTCCTCCATCTTCCCTCCCTCCCTCCCTCCCTTCCTTCCTTCCTTCCTTCATTTCTCCCTGTTCCCTCCCTCTCTCCCTCCCTTCTTTCTTTTTGATTCTTAGTGAAATGGAAGAGTTTTCCACTTGTTATCAACAGTTGACCACAGGCCCCATAATGCCCTAACCTAGGATTCCAGAGGTCCCTAGCATCCAGGAGGCTCCTCTCTGCAGGGCCCTAGAATGTGGGAAACTTGGTGCCAGGCTCCCATTCTTGCCAGGAGACCGTGAGACCCCAAGACCTCCTCATGTCGGAGAAGTAGCTATTACTTTTCACATTTGGAAAATGAGAGGGTTGCGCCCTAAAGGCCTTCTCCAGCTCTCGTATTCTAAAAACCCGTTTCTGTAACTAGCTGATTATACGGTCTTGGTCTGATGGGGCTCCCAGGTGTCTTTTTTTTGGGCACATTCTGGACTATCTGTACTTACCGTCCTGTACTACAGGACCCTTTGTGGTCCTGAACTATATTCCAGACTCAGAAGGATAGAAAGCTGTTTATGTGCCATGATTCCATACAGGGCACCCCAGATGTGGCCTCTTTAATTACCTCCTACTGTGACAGCAGAGAATCCTAAACCTACTTCCTCCTGAATGTTGTGGGCTATAACAATGAGTTTTATCTGTGTGGCAAAGCTCTTCATCCCCTTGGTCACAGGGGTGGGCTTATGCCCTCCTAGCAATCAAGTTATTTTCCTGGAAATAACAGGAGCGCCTCATGCCCAACCCATCAACAAGCTGGGGCTGCAGTGGCGGAGGACCTTACCATGTGGAGGGAGCGCTAGGAGAGGAGGAGACCCACCCTGAAGAGGAGTGGAGACTGGTGGAGATGAGAAAGATTAAAAAGGTAGCAGTGAGTCCAGGGTCCCAGGCCCTGAGTCCTGGTTCCTACAGTTCTATGTCCCCCTCCCGACCCTAATATCCTGCCCAGTAATATGAACTGATAAACTCCCTTTTGTGAATTAAGCCAGTTTGACGTGAACTCTTTCTAGCTACTTGTAAATAATCCCCACTAACATATCAGCTGTGAATGCTTTTCCTATTCCTCATTCCTAACTGAGATCCTCCCAGACTTATCCTTTTCTATTCTTTTTTGTACTTAAGTTTTTCTTTGGAAATTTTATAGCTTCACAGAAGGTTGCAAAAATAGAGATCCCTTGTACCTTTCCCTGGAATCCTGTCAATGGTAACATGTTACATAACTATAGCTCAGTGTCAAAGCCAGCCAACTGACATTGGTGTAATCTGCAACTCCTTTTTTATTTTTTAAAAGAATGCTTAGCCATGCTTACAAGTATAAGTTAGAACCTGACTGTTGCACTCAGCAGACTTAGAGCCTGAGGAGGAAGAGAAGCACAAGGCAATTACATTCAGATGTGATGTGTCACACCTGGGCAGGTGCACAGTGCTCTCCTCACCAAGCACTCACCACGTCCAAGCAAACCAGGCACTTGGCGTTTGTTAACTCCTTAAGCCTCGTGACAATGCTGTAACACCAGTACTATTAGCATCATCATTCCTTTTACAGAGAGAAGGAAACTAAAGTAACTTGCTTAAGGTCACAAAGTTGTTAGGGAGCAGAGCTAGAGTAAACCCATGAGGCTTGTTTTCAGAGTGTTCTGCCCAAGCATTATGTAATGAGATTAACAGCAAAGGGTAGAATTCTTTTCCTGAGACTCCTTGGATCTTTCCTCAATGTCCCACTTCTCTTCCCCCCTCACACCCTCTTCCTCTCTCATGCCCACTTGAGTTTCTGGGGTTAACTACTCTAACAGTCCTATTTACAGCTCTTTCAGGCTGTGCTCTAACAGGGGTGGTCTTCCCTGGGTGCACCCTTCAGAAGGTGTCCCATCCCTCTACACAGCAGGGGATGTGGGTCAGAGGGGAGGCCGTCTTCAAAGACTGTGAAGGGCCGGAGTCCTAGCCTCACTCTCCAGGGATTGCTTCTTGGTCGTTTAGCACTGTAAAAAAACCAAGTAAATCAAAAACTGCCAGGAAACCAGGAGAAGAAAGTCTTGCACAGCAGAGGAACACATTTACTTGTCAGTTCATGGCTTTAGCTCTCAGCCCCAAGGTGGTGATCATGGTGGAGATGATGGAGGTGGTGGGCTGGTGATGCTCTTGGTACCTCATTCTGGGGGTGGGCAGGGTGGTGGGCATTTAGGAGGACAGGGTTTGCAACAGGGCTTGGGAGGGCAGGGAGGTGGGCATGGCGGAGGGCACGGCGGGGGGCATGGCTGGCACTTTGGTGGCACTGGGCACTTCTCCCGTGGGCACTTTTCAGAGCACCGTTGCAGCAGCTTCTTTAAACAGCTGGGCTGGCATTTGGTCTCACACTTTTGTTCACACTTGGGATCACAGTTCTTGAGCTCATTCTTGGGTTCGCTAGATTTATTTTTATCATCACTCGACATACTTTCTTGATTTTCTGGGCCCTGCAAAGAAATATGGGACAGGTTGTATGTGGGACACCACACTGCAAAGCGACAGAGAACCAGTACAGCTGCCCCACTCACGCCTGATGCCCATCCTTGTTCTTAAGAAAGACTTTCCCAGGATGTGTTCAGGCCCTAGACCAAATTCTTATTTAAGGGCTGTCCTCTTGTCCTTGTAGTGGATTAGTGATGGCATTTCTTGATCTCTCCGCCCTTACTCTGCCTTCTTTTCACTTATCTTGTCTCCTTCCCATAGCCTCTAGCAGGAGTCTTTAACCCAGGGTCCTGGGGGTCCACCTCCTCCCAACCATAAGAACCGTATTTAACCATATATTTATCAATGTAGTTGGTATCTTCTGTAATCCCATGTATTTTATTTAATTCATTTAAAAATATTATTCTGAAGAGTCCATAAGTTTGATAGACTGTTAAAGACATCTATGGCACAACAAACATTTTAAAGAACTGTAAGACCACCTCCCCATCCTTCTGGAAATGGAGATGGAAGGAGGGTATACTGGGGGACTTAGGGACCCAGGACACTCTTTCAATCCTGTGTTCTGCCTAGGGCCTCAAAACCTTGAGAATTGCTTTCTTCACTGAAGACTTGGGACAGGAAGATAATTGAATCCGTACCATGGCTGGGCTCCCACGAACCACTCTAGGAACTCCTTCCCCCCGAGTGACAAGGGTAAGAGAGGAAGTCAAGAGAGGAGATGAACTGGGAAATTCTAATTCCTCTGAAAATATGATTGTTAGAGCCACAAAATATGATTTTAAGGAGGAATTCTTTTTCCCCCTCTGTTGAGTTTTGCCTTGAGCTAGGTTTTCCTCTATGGACGGTTTGACTTCTAGATATGGACAGGGCTTTTCAGTCCCTGACAATACTTGCAAGTTGCATCAAATTGGCACACGTTTGATTTCCTTTAACAATATAGAAATAAAATTTTATCTAATTTAGTTTTAAAATCAGTATGGCTCTTTGGAGAGGCAGATCATTAACTGAACTCAAAAATTAAGAATCTTGCTTTCAAATGAATTGTTCCCCAGTTCTTGCTACTGAAAATGAGAGGAAACTTTCACCCAAACATAGCCATCATCTCAACCCTGTTCAGTGCTCGGGGTGCTGTAGGGCACACCCAGAAAAGGAGAGGTAAAAGAGGGGGCATTTCCAGATGTCCAAATGCAACTCACCCCTTTGTGTTGGTAGTGAACTTGACAAGTAGTCGAGTCAGGTGGATGTTATAGCTGTGCTTGGGAAGGTGGATTTTCCCTCTAGTTCCTCTGCCCAACTCTGAGGAAGCCAGGGGTAAGGGGAAAGGGGAGCCCCGCTTGTGACCTCATCACTGCATCATCAAGTAGTGATTGTTGTGTGACTCCAGAGCTCCCAGCTCAACTCAAGCCCTTGAACATGAGAACAGACTATGATTAATCACCCCCTTTGTCATCTCGTTCCCTCTCCGGGTCCCTCAAAATTCATGCTGGTGAAATCAGGCTATGGTGAAGACTACTGAACTCTATGGATAGGGAGGCTCATTGTTGCTAGGAGCAGAAAAGCTCTGTTTACACGTGGTCTCTCTTTCCTCCCCCAGCCTCCCGGCTTTAACTCCCTTGAACTTGTCCCTTCTCCACCTTTCTAGGAGAGCTTCCCTGGACTGATCACAGCCATTTTAACTCTCCTTTCCTTCCTGTTTTTCTAATATGAGACTCTGAAACCTCTTTTTACCACCCCATACTCCTCGGCTCAAGTCCAAGCATTATTTTAGCTCTTTTTCTCAATGTCTCTGCCCTATAATTCACTGTTTGTTGGGCTCTGTGATTTTTTTTTTTTCAGTCAGGGAGTGGCCACCCTTGATGTCTGAGGTAAATGAAGCCTATGGTAGGGAAATTGGGTTGGATGCTCCTGACCAGTCCCGACATATTGGGTTAAACCCAGATCCTGTCTTAGAGTAGAAAGGCTTGCCTCTGAGAAAGTTCCTTCCTTGCCTTTTCAAAGACCTTGTCTTTGTGGCTGGAATAGGGTAGCAGTGTGTCCGGGGTGGTAATAGGAGATTGGAGTGGGAAAGGCAGGTGGGGCTCAGACACATAGTGCCCTAAACTCAGATCCAGGAAGTTCATCTTGGCAGTCATTCACTGATGCATCTCAGTGACTTTTGCTTAAAATTGTGATACAATCATGTCTGAGGTGTTGGAAGATATTTCTGACTGCAAAGTGTGGGATAGGTTGAGGGATGCAGTGGTGGAGTGCAAGTTGAACTAGCCTGCTTCAAAGAAATGATAAAAATCTCCAAGTCTGAAGGAAGGCAGTGGTGGTGCTAGAAAGAGGGTGGCAATGAGAGAAACATCATCAGGGAGGCAAATTTATGGGATTTGGTTAATGGAAAATTGAAAAGAAAATTAGAAATGTTGACTGTCAGGTGTTATTGTTAATGGGCGCTGAGGAAATAGAACAGGTTTGTGTTAGAAGAAGATGGGTTTGAGTCTGAGAATGTTGAATGTGGTTGCAGTGGAACATCTTGAGTGGTTATTGGAAATATGGCTCTGGTCTTTGTGCCACTGGGCAGACCTGAGACCTTGAGTTCATTTCAGTCCCATGCGTGTTTACTGAGTGGATGAGAATGAGCTGGTCTGGAGAGAGGATTGGGGGAGAGAAGAGAAACATACTGGGGAGGATGCGGAATCCCAATAGAGGGCTTATTTGGTATTCACAGTGGATAAAGAATGTCATATACAATTGAAACCCAAGTGAACCTAAATGAAAGGGGAGAGTGGGTCAGAATTTACCTCTCTGCCGCTGGGATAACTAGTGTTAGATCCATTGTCTTGGTGCAGTCCACTGCCCTCTACTCATTTTCTTTCCTCTGTAATTTTGTTCACGAGTTCTGTCTCTTCAAAGCTGTTGAGAAGCAGTTCCCACACCCAGCTCAGGAGACTCAGCCCCGCCTGCTGTTTAGCTCTGGACTAAAGCTAGCAATCTGGTTATGGAGAAGGCAGTCATTTGTGACAGTGATGTCAAAAGACGTAGTGATTTCTACTGGCATTGTCTAGCTGTCATATCTTTTTTCTCTCTCCTTTCTTCCTTCTCCTATTGCTTGCTCAAGAAATTCCCACTGAACGAAAGTATATCACTCATTGAACTTTCACCAGGACATTTGCCCATGATCTTTTCAGTCTTTAAAACCCTTCTTTAAATGTCAAGACTCCTGACTGTTACATTTAGTATCCCAGCTATCAGCTTCACCTTTGGCTTAGGGTTTGCTTAGCAGCTGGCTGGCAGCAAGGCACTACCCAGATGAAACACAGAACAGCCTTCTTGAATGGCTGGGTCTCAGGAGGAGAGAGATGGGTCTCAGGATGGGGAGATGCATGGGTATCAAAGCTTGCAGTTTGGGGCTTGCCTGGTGGTGCAGCGGTTAAGTGTGCGTGCTCTGCTGCAGCCGCCCGGGGTTCTCAGGTTTGGATCCCAGGTGTGCACTGATGCACTGCTTGCTAAGCCATGCTGTGGCGGCGTCCCATATAAAGAAGAGGAGGATGGGCACGGATGTTAGCCCAGGGCCAATCTTCCTCAAGAAAAAAGGGGAGGATTGGCATCAGATGTTAGCTCAGGGCTAGTCCTCCTCACAAAAAAAAAAAAAAAAAAAGCCCACAGTTTAAGAGCAAAGACCTGGGAATTAGATTCCTGGGTTCAAATCCTGCCTTCATCCTTTAATTACCAAATGACCTCTAGTACTTAACCTTTCTAAGTCTCAGTTCTCTCATCTATAAAACGTGATGAAAGCATCCATCTTAGGATAGTATGTAACTTATATTGAGTGCTTATAACAGGCCAGACACTTTCAAGTGCAAAGCCTACAGTCTCATCCATCATATTGCCTCACTGTACTCATAGGTTGTTGTAAAGATTAAAGGAGATTCTACGTATGAAGAAGACCTCCCTTTAAATGTTCACTATACATATGAGTTATTATTTTTGTCAGTGTTTTCCTGACTGTGTCATCTCTTGGTTTGCTGGATCTCTCTTTCATTTTCTGATATTGGCCTTGAAATATGACTTTTCCATATCATTTTTCCCCCTTCCAGCCAATGTTCCTGGTGGTGTTCACAGGAAGATTAGATATGTCAATATTAACTGTTAATGGATGATTTCAGTTTTGAGTAAGGAGAGTTGATATAAGTGTTATTGATAAAAGATAGTAATTTAAACATTCACTAAGACCAAAATCATCAGCAGACCATTCAGTGGTGTCTCCTTGTGACCTTGTAGGCTCTGTATGTTTGTATATTGTGTCAGAGAATTCTGTGTCAGCAATTTTAACTTCACTTGGATCCCCCTCTCTGTTTTCTAGGTGAAGGCTTTCTTTTTTTTCTTCCTTTTGCTATCTCTCTGTGTAGTTCTTGTTGAATAAGCAGGATTCACAAGACAAAGTCAGAAAATAACTCTATTGTCCCTCTGGGTGCTTCTTAAAATCCTCTGTGGGGCTGACTTTTCCCCTTTTCCTGGGATGGAATCTCTAACAGATGACATTGACTTTTAGGATCATGCTTAGACCATAAGAAGTTCTCTGGTCACTTCTATTTACGTAAACACTCTTATTTCAGTAATCAGAAGTTGTATTTCCTGAACACTGGATTTCTTTCCCTTTCCCACTTGGGACCAGAAAGGAGAGCATATTCTCTATTTGCTATTTGGAGTTTCTCCTCCTCTTCCTTCACTCACCTAGCTGCCCCTGGTTTTGGGACAGGGGCTGTAGAGGGAGGAGAGAGAAGGGGCAGGAAAGTTCTTACCTGACTGATATTGTTCCAATCTCCTGATACCTAGGAGCTTTCTGGGCTTGGCAGGTGGTTAAAGCTGACCTTGTCTTTTGTGAGGAACTTGAATGTGTTCCTGACACATTCCAGCCGAAGTTCCTGGTGGTGTTCATACGAAGATTATTACTATTATTAATATTTAAATATTAATATTTCAATTACTAATATTTCAATATTAACTGTTAACGTATGATTTCAGCCCCACCCCTCCCCTGCTGGGGTTTTAATCTCAGTTCTTCAATATTGGCAGACTTATCTCTTCTGGCTGGCTGCGAACAGCTCCTTCAGTGCCTAGGCATTCGGCAGGTCTCCTCCAGCTTCTCTCTACCGGGGTTACCTGTCCTCCAGGTGTCCGTCTTGAATGTGGTTTTACACAGCCTGAAGAGCCAGCTCTCCCCCTCCTGGGGGCCATATCTGACCCACGGGGAACACTCACAATCCTCCCCTTTCATTGTTCACCAGTTACTGTTGGTGGTGTTTTCCTGATGTTTATGTATTTTTGTTCATTTGTTATATATTAGGTGAGGGAAGTTCTATGACGTCTTCATGGACATGGTTCAGTATTTGTCCAATTTGACTTTACTATAGTATTTGACACTATTGTGTCCTCTTTTTTACCCCTCTCCCCTTGGGTTCCTCCACTACCTGGATAGTGTCCCTTTCTCTGGCCTTATCTACCCTCCTCTAGGACCTCTTCCTCCTCTGCTGAATCCTTTCAGCTTCCCCTGGCTCCTTTCACTTTACACACTTGCTGCCGATCTCTTTCTCCATCGTTGATCTAACCTCAACCTCTATGCCAAAGAATCCCAAACCCACACTCTTCCCTCTTCTTTAGGTCCGGATATTAACATCCATGACATGTAATCTGGTGCCTCAAACGGATTTTACAAAATCAGAATCCATTCCCTTCCGCATCTTTTCTAACGTGCCCCTCCTGTGTGTTCCAACTCTGCAAGTAGCGTCCCCATTCACCAAGACCTCTCAGCTAGAAACCTGGGATCCTTCCATCCTCCTGCCTCCCACTCAACCCCACACCAAATTTGCTGCTAGGATCCGCCAGTTCTATTTCCTAAACCACAGGCTCCTAACGCAGGCTGGTGTTTGGATGTCTCTCTTGAGTCAGTCTCCCATCATCCTCACAGCTACTGCTGTTGCTTTTCCTGAGGTTGTCATTGTCACAGGTGTCCCACAGTGCCCAGCTCTACCTCATACTCCACAGCACTGTCACAGCAAATTTTATAAAACCAAAGTCTAATTTTACCATTGAACTTAAGATGAGGCCCAAGGTTGTTAGCTGGGTTTACAAGATTCTTCCAGTTCAGTCTTCTCCTTTTACCATAGATTCTGGGGCTAAACTACTTGCAGCTCCCAAACTACTTGCAGTGCTGGGCTTTTTTGACTCTGTGTTTTTTCTCTGCCAGTCATCTCCTTCCTCTTCCTTCCTCCAAAGTTGAGCTCAGGAAATTTACCCTGGGCGTGATTTATCTGACCCTCCCAGGCTGCTAGCTGCCTGAGCCAAGCTCATTCT